TTGTGATATGACACTAGAGCATTGTGATTTCCCAATGGAACATAGAGAAGTCATGTTGTCACATTGTGATCACACATTCCAGCAATATAATGGCACTTGGGGAGATAGTGTTGGCACATTGGAGAACTGTGATGTCACATTGAAGCATATTCAAATCACATTGGAATGTTGTGAAGTCATATTGGAACATTGTGATGGCACATTGGAGCACTGCGATGTCACCTTTGAGCATTGTGATGTCATATTGGATCACTGTGATGGCACAATGGAACATTGTGAAGTCATACTGTAACATTGTGATATCCCATTAGAGCAATATAATGGTACATGAGGTGATAGTGTTTTCACATTCGAGGATTTTCATGTCACATTGGAGGACTTTGAAGTCACAATGGAATATTGTGATGTCACAATGGAAGATTTTGAAGTCACATTGTCACATTGTGATGGCACGTTGGAGCAATAGAATGGCAAATGTGGTGATAGTGTTGGCACATGGGAGCATTGTGATATCACATATGGAGCATTTTGAAGTCATATTGTAATATTCTGATGGCGCATTGGTGCAATAGAATGGCACATGGGGCAATAGTGTTGGCACATTGCAGTTTGAGATGTCACATTGTAAACTCATATTGTTACATTGTGATGGCACATTGGAGCAACATGATGGCACATGCGGAGACTGTGTTGGCACATTGGAGCATTGCAATGTCACAATGGAACATTGCGAAGTCCTAGTGTAACACTGTGATGGTACTGTGGATAATTGTGTGGTCAAATTTGCGGATTGTGAGGGGACATTGTGCACCGTGCTTGCATATTGAGCATGATGATGACACAATGGATCACGGTAATGACAGAATTTCGCATCATGTTGGCACAGTGAGCAGTGTGATGGCATATAGGTGAGTTGTGATGACAGAATGCAACATAGAGAAGTCATATTATAAAATTGTGATGGAACATTTGAATATAATGGCACATGTGGGGGTTAGTGTTGGCACATTAAACACTGTGATTTCACATTGGAGCATTGTGATGTCACAATGGAACACTATGAAGTCATATTGTAATATTGTGATGTTACCATGGAGCATTGTGATATCACTATGGAATATTCTGAAGTCATATTCAAACATCGTGATGGCATATTCGAACAATATGATGTCACAAGGGGCGATAGTGTTGGCACATTGGAGCCATGTGATGTCACACTGGAGGATTGTGATGTCAGAATGGAATATTGTGAAGTCATAGTGTAACGTCATGATGGCACATTGGAGCAATATGGCTCATGGGGCAATAGTGTTGGAACATTGGAGCATTGTGTCATCACACTGGAGCATTGTGATTTCCCAATGGAAGATTGAGAGGTCATATTGACACATTGTGATCGCACATTGCAGGAATACAATGGCACATGGGGCGATAGTGTTGGCACATTGGAGAATTGTGATGTCACATTGAAGCATAGTGAAATCACATTGGAACATTGTGAAGTCATATTGGAACATTGTGATGGCACACTGGAGCACTGTGATTTCACATTTCAGCATGGGGATGTCACACTGGACCACTGTGATGTCAAAATGGAACAGTGTGAAGTCATATTGTAACATTGTGATGACATCATAGAGCATTGTGATGGCACATTGGAGCATTGTGAAGTCATATTTGAGCATTGTAATGTCACAATGGAACATAGTGAAGTCATATTGTAACATTATCATGGCACCATAGAGCATTTTGATTTCACATGGAGCGATAGTGTTGGCACATTGAAGCATTGTAATGTGACATTGGAACCTTGTGAAGTCACAATGTAACATTGTGAATTCATA